ACCATGTCCAAATGTTGGAAAAACGCAAAGAGCATGAGAATATGGAGCTTCACCGCCAGCAAGAAATGAACAGCAAACAACTTCCTTTTGCAGAAGACCAAGGCAGTGTTCATATGACCAAGGACACTAGCACTGATGGGAGTAAAAAAATTCATCTTGAAGGCACTCTACTCTTCACGTATGTATGCCATATCATCTTTAAAACGCTATTTGATGTTGGATTTATTGTGGGGCAGTACTTTCTGTATGGCTTCCACATCCTTCCGCTGTACAAGTGTAGTCGCTGGCCCTGCCCTGACACGGTGGACTGTTTTGTCTCACGGCCAACTGAAAAAACCATCTTCATCATTTTTATGCTAGCTGTTGCTTGTGTCTCAATTCTCCTGAACGCTGTGGAGATGGTCCATCTATGTTTGAAGAAGATTCAATCTGGGTTCCGTCAGACAGCACCAGCCCAGGTGCAGACCCTTGTCCCTTCTGAGAGAAGCTTGTCGTTCATTCCCTTTCATAAGCCAAAAGGTTACAGGCCACTTGAAGAGGATAGAAAGGAGGGCGAGATTGCACACATCTACCCTCTAGCTGAAGCAGGTATAGAGGAAGTCCAGCTTCTTTCTCTATCTCAGGAGGTGGATCAGAATAGAACGAATGAGGCAGTAGTACCTACAGCGCCCCCTGTGAAGGAGTCAGCGATTTATGATGAGACAATCCCAGCCTTTTCTGAGGTCACCAAGGCTTTCCTTGAGCTACCACCAACCGAAGAGGAGGAGATTTGTAGAGAAGGGGATGAGGTGGACAGTTCCATACTTGTGATTCCCTTGGAAGTGGTACTGGGAAGGAGATCAGAAGAAGAATGCATGGAGGAGACTCAGACAATTGGTGATGTGAAACAAGGAGATGTACAGAAAACTACAGAATCCCCAGGTATAAAAACCACATTAATAGATCAACAATTGGATGTGGAGACTGAATCAGGACAGGGTGGAACAGAGGTTGTAGACATTCTAGAAGATTTTGAGGTAGTTGTAGAAGATTCTGAAGAGGTTGAGAAATTGGTAAAAGTACCAAATGTTGAGGTGGTTGTAGAAGTACCATTAAATGTTGAGGAGGTTGTAGAAGTACCAGACAATGTTGAGGAGGTAGTAGAAGTACCAAAAAATGTTGAAGATGTTGTAAAAGTTCCAGAAAATAGTAAGGATGTTGTCGAAGTACCAGAAAATATTGAGGAGGTTGTACAATTGCCAGAAAATCTTGAAGCAGTTTCAGAAGTACCAGAAAATCTTGAAGCAGTGGTAGAAGTACCAGAAAATTTTGAAGCAGTGGCAAAAGTACCAGAAAATCTTCAAGTAGTGGTAGAAGTACCAGAAAATGTTGAAGCAGTTGCAGAGGTTCCAGGAAATATTGAGGCTGTTGTACAACTACCAGAAAATATTGAGGTTGCAGAAGTACCAGGAAATACTGAGGATGTTGTAGACGTACCAGAAAATGTTGAGGAGGTAGTAGAAATACTAGATAATGTTGAAGAGGTTGCAGAAGTAATAAACAAAATTAAGGAGGTTGTAGATGTTCAAGACAAAATTGAGGAACTACCTGAAAAGAATGAACCGGTGGTAGAAGTTGCAGAAATATTTGACCGCATTGCAGAGGTTCCAGTAAACATGGTTGTAGAATTTCCAGAAAACATTGCGGAGCTTGTTGATGTTCATGAAAACATTGAGGAGCCTGTAGAAATTCCAGAAAATCGTGAAAATGTCATAGATGTTCCAGAAAAGGTTGAGGAGCATGTGGAATTTCCAGCAGAATATCCAGCGAGTAAAGAACTGACCAACACAGAAGAGCTTTCAATAGATGCTAAGAGCTCCTCTGTAGAAGAAGAGAAAACTGTAGACCCCTTATGGAAGGAGAAACCTTTAGAGGTGAATAAATCTTTAGGAGAGGAGCCTGTATCTAGGAAAATCAAGAGGTCAGATATACTAGAGAGTGCAGAGGAAACACTCAATTTAGAGGTAATTGCAGCGGTATGCGAAATAGAAAATTCATCTAAGGTGGAGTCAATAGAGGATGTTGTCAGTGCGAATGAAGTAGTTGACTTTATTGATGCTGTGGACATAGGGAAGTCATTCAACAAGATGGGCAATCCTGAGGAGGCTAAGAGCACTGGAGCCCAACATAGTCAAGGGAAAACTAGAGATCCTGGAGTAGTAGAGAGTGTAGAATTGGAGGTTAGGTTGCCAGAGATAGAGACACTCGAAGACACGATTTCAGTCCCTCTCGTACCTCTGGAATTAGCAGCAACAGAGACCTTGGAAGATACAAGAGCGCCGAGCAGTCTAAGAAAAGCAAGCAGTAGAGCAAGATCAGATGATCTTACAATATAACTAACATGTTTACATGAGCTAAAATATAGAAAACATACTTATCTTAAAACAACAACAACAGCAACAACAAAAAATCAAAATCAACAATAACCAGTATTTTGGTTTTTATTTTTCATTTCATCTCAGTGAAAATCTGTGTTCATTAGCAGCATTTTTCTGATATTCGTGTTCTGTGTATGCTGAGGTCCAACATTCAAAAACAATTGTTAGATCATGTTTAACTGGAATTTTTTTTATACCCAATGAATTGTACCTAATGGTCACTAATCAACAACATTATTTACTTCTTTATGTTTTTTTTTTATTTACTACTACTACTACTACTACTACTACTACTACTACTAATAATAATAATAATAATAATGAGAAGAAGAAGTAGAGGAAGAAGAATTTTTCACTTTTTATGGCTTAAACCAATTAAGTATATATTGGATTGAGTGACTTTAGTTCATTTACATGCCATTTAGGAGAAAAAACAGATTTCATAAAGGAATTACACTTTACAGATGAGGTACAGACAGGTGATCAATCGCAGGGGGAAAAAAACACCATTACGTCATTTAGTAATGTGTGGGGCAGTGGCATTGGTTCTACAAATCCTCAAGATATTCACTCAGTTGCTGCTTTGATGATGGAGAGCTCTCCAAAATTTCTCACGAGTACTCAGGCAGGATAATGTGATGAATGTGAAATTCATAGCATGTGATTTACAATGTGCTTTGTTAAGCTGGTAGTCATGCCAACATTACACCCATTACAACACACTTATGGTGTAAAGGAGAGGTCGTCTTTTTAAGTACAGTAAGTGTATACAGGCAGAATCATTTTCAAATTTTCCATGAAACAAATTTCCAGTCAGCACCTGAACACTGAAGAAACATGAAAGAAAGTACATCATTAGATTTATTTTTGAATCTGATTTGATGACCACATTAAAGACTTTAAAATAAAATAAATCCACTAATGCTTAAGAAATGCCGTGTAAAGTCCGATCAGATAGTCAGCTAGTTAGCTACCGTAGCTAGTTCACAAACTAGTGGCTAATTTGCTGCTCACTACCCAGTTTATAAAATGCTTTTGTCTTAGCATTTAATTCGCAAATTATGAATGGATTGATTATTTCATTACATTCCATTTTCCTCAGAACGATATTCCTACATCGTGAAACATTTGATTTCATTCCTACTCATTGGTCCAGTTGGATAGTTGGAGGTATTCACCCCTTCCCCAAAACACTTGACGTAGCATAATCTTGAACCTGATTTCTGACTGATGTGAATATTACCCAATAGAGGGTGCAGAACACAGTTCCAAAGAAGAAAATCTCTACGAGTTTTTGAAGAAATAATCCTTACATGTAATATCCATCAATCAAACATCACTTGTTAACGGTCTATGGTCTGTCTGTCAAAGTTTTGGTGTAAATGAAAGTATAAGGGCTAAATACCATCAGCCCCAGCCTCTCTAAATTGGCTCAGAAAGGCTTGTTGTAGGTACTAACCTGGAAAAGTAGTCATTTATAGGGATTATTTATTGTTCATTTCTGTATCATTCACTCTTAATTGTATTTTTATATATGACTATGAATAAAGTGTTTGTCCTATTTTGTTTTATAGTTTAATATCAAATGCATATTGGCTTGGCTTGTATACTCTATACTGTATATGGTGTGTGTGTGTGTGTGTGTGTTAAATTTGATTTATGCAGCTAAGCTTGTGTACTTTCTGTGAACTTATGCATATCTCTAAAGTAGTGAATGCAACTCTGTAGAAATACAAAGAAAGATGTTGCTGAAGGTGTAAAGAAAAATAAACAACCTCATCTCATTCAAATCAAATACAGAAATCACAGGGAGTCTTGGTTCATCTGACATTACTCATAAGCATTTTTCATCCCAACGTCTTCTTTGTCTATGGAAAAAACTCAGTCAGTGCTTCCCTCCTCTAACACGATCTACAGTATGGAGTGAAAACATCTTACTTGTCGTGTATTTGTAATGACTGGACCTTTCCAAGAGGCATTTTTGAGAAAAAGCCCTGTAGCTGGTTCTTGGAACTCACCCACACATAGACTCAACCCAGTGTATTTTGCATCCCCATTTGAGAATAAGATGATTGATCAGTACTCTGTCATCCAGAAATGATACGGCTTGGGTGTATAGTAACATTCTAAGCAGAATAAGTAATGTAGACAGATTTTAGGTTGGTTACCGGTGGAATTAACTAAAGAACAAATGCGGACATCATATGGAACTCGACGAACTCGAAGATTTAATGTCCGTTTCAACGTTCCCAAACAATTTATCCAGAATTCATCTTCATTCCGAATTTTGTCTTTTTAAATGTCCTTTAATTAGATTTGATGAATGAACACATATTGTTATCCTCCCTGTACATCATTAAAGACAGCTGTGTTTTGTTACACACATATGAACTAAATAACTAAATAAAAACTTAAATGATCAATTACACTGGTCATACATCTATTTTTTTTATTGGTTTGACATCATGGTTGTCATTGTGGACTGAAACTCAGAAAGGGTTTGACTGCAGTAGGTGACGGAAGGTCAATGACAGCAGTAAAGACCAATCATCTTTACTGATATTTATTGCACATATCCTTGTGGGAAGTGGTAGCTCGGTGGTTATGACGTTGGCCTTCTGCTCGGAAGGCCATGAGTTCAAATCTCAGCACTGCCAAAGCCTTGAGCTTGACCCTTAACCCTCAAATGCTCAATTGTATTGAGAAAATGAGGTAAACGTAAGTCGATCTGGATAAGGGCATCTGCCAAATGCCATAAATGTAATGTAATTACAAGTGCTGCTGCACACTGGATAAATCAAAGGTTTGTCTGAAACTCTTCGGTGGTTGTTCATCTACAGACAGCTTGAGAGTGGGATTCGTAGAGTTGCTTTGGCTTAAAAAACAAAGACATGACGTGTTGGACACATCATGATGCAACATTGTTAGTGCTACTATTTCTAAATAAATATTATTTTAGAATATATATATATATATATATATATATATATAGAAAGCAAGTGGGGTCTGAATCATTTTGTGTCTAAATCAATTATCCATAAGTTAAAATTGTGGTCTGCACCTGCAAAATGACTAGGATAAACCTGATGAGCTGAGTATGTGGACTCTAATTAGTGTTTATTTTCCTGTTCAGCTCAGGCGCCAGTCCTCTGAAATCTTTGGACTCCTCCGGTGAAAAATCGGTTTGTTGGGGGTAATTGTGAGGTTTCTTTTGAAGAATCGGGCGTATGTAAAATGTAAAATGGTTCAAAATGTCAAGTTTTATCGTCGCTAAATAAGCACGGCACAAACACGGCAGATTATGGGGCGCACCAAAGAGCAGCAGTTGAAATGGAACAATAGTTATTACTGTAGAACTGCTAACATTTATGAATGGAGAAGAATCGAGTGTCAAGAATCAAGGATGTGGATTTTTTTTCCCTCTCCAAACTAAACTTAGCTTGAATATGAAATACAACAAAATCTTCACTCTTTCTACACACACTTTTACTTCTGTTTGGGTCCTTAGTCTGTTCTTTTGTTCTCTGTTGTCTTGTTTAAATGCAGATGCTGACAAGTTTGTGTCGTTAACAAGTCGAGAGTCAACTGTTGGGAAAATGTATGGGTGTGTGTGAGGGGGTGTGTGAGATATTGTGTTGGGAATGACAGGTTGTGTGTTATTGTAGCCATTACAGGACTGGGATATGCTGCTTCATCTTGAACCCAGGTTGTATATCATAAAAACAGAACAGACAGACTTTCGAGGAGAGGAGAGGTGTCACTTACTGTTCTCCATTTAGTCCAAGATTCAGGATTTGGCCTTCATTTGAATCAGATCTGATGTAACTAGTAACTTCCTACTTGAGTAGTTTTCTCATTGGATGCTTGATTAGTCTTACTCAAGTCATTATTAACATCATTACTTTTACTCTTACTTGAGTGAAATTTTTTGGCTACTCTACCCACCTCTGCCAACCGTACCTTACCTCACCTCAGAGTGCTACGAGGGTTGAGACGGAAGATTAGAGTACATGTGGTTACGTTTATGAATGATTCATTCCTTGTTTTTTTTTATTTTTTATTAATTTAGTAAAAAACAAAAGAACATCATATTTTGATGATAGTATACACCGATTATCATATTATCATTCTGACATATCTTACTCACCAACGTCTTCTTCCCATCATGTATCCCCAATCTCATCCATTTCAGTTCTCTATTCGGTTATCTTTTATGACCCCCGTCATAAAACTGTCTGGGCCGATTCTCCTCTGAACTCCACTGCACTTTCTCCAAAAATATACCACTCCTTCTGGTCATAAATTTCATTTCCACTTTTTCTTAAAACAATCTGTTCTTTCTCAGATTTGAACTGTATGTTCTGTTTGAACTGTATTGAACTGTATGTATGGACCAGTTAGTATGTTAGTAAATCCTGACTTTCTCTACAGTTTCACCTTTTATAGCTGACACTTTCTTTGAAAAGAGAAACTGCATTTTAACTGTAATCAGAGAGATACCCACTGCCAAGCAGGTAGTGTGATTAATAAGCACACTGACAGGGAACAGTTTATTAGAAATATTATTAGGAACAGTATATTAATACTGAGTAGGGCCTCCAAAACAGCCTCAAATTCTTCGTAGCATGGTATTCACAGGATGTTGGAAACCTTCCTTTGAGGTTCTGGTCCATGTTGACTCGATTGCATCACGCAATTCCTGCAGATTTTTCAGATACACTTTCATGCTGTGAATCTCCCGTTCTACCACATCCCAAAGGTGATCTACTGGATTCAGATCTGGTGACTGGGAAGATCACTGAAGAACACTGAACTCATTGTGATGTTCATGAAACCAGTTGGAAACGAGTTTTGCTTTTCGACATGGTGCAGTATCATGCTGTAATGATCACAGTCATTAGAAGATGGTAAATTATGATGAAGGGATGTACATGTTCAGGAACAGTACTCAGATTGGGCCATGGCATTCAAGCCAGGATTGATTGGTATTAATAGACCCAGAGTGTTCCAAGAAAACATTGGTCTTCTACTGTTGGTCGTTTATTCTAGAGACCGTTGTGTGTGAAAATCCCAGACGAACAGCAGTTATAGAAATACTCGTCTGGCACCGACAATTATACCACAGTCAATATTACTGAGATCACATTTTTCCTCCTTCTGATGATTGATGTGAACATTACCCGAAGCTGCTGGCCCGTATCTGCATGGTTGTATGCATTGAATTCCTGCCAAATGATTGGATGATTAGATAATTGCTCAAATGAGTTGGTGTACAGGTGTTCCTAATAAAGTGCCAAGCAAGTGTATGTCTATAAAAATTTTATACCCCTTTTTTTGAGTGAACAATTGCCGCACCGTCCAACAATATAGTCGGAATGTAGTAAAGGAGACAAAAAGGAGCCATGGGAGGCAAATCAAATGATTCACAGGAGCTCAGTCAAATGTGCTTATTTATCAAGTATTAATGTACTTGAGTTTTAAAAGCCCAAAAAGTTTTAAATGACCAAAAGATGCACACCCAACAACACCAGGAGGCAGACTATTCCAAATAATCTTCACAGCAGTGGGGGTCCTTGCCCTTGGAGTAGACAGAGCATGCAGGGGTTTCAAAGCACTCCCTCTAGTGGTTTGACGCAAGGTATATTGGGGTCGTGAGCAAAGTCTTCAAGTTGACAAGCGGACACAGCTTGTACTTGTCGCCTGTGTTGAAGGATTTGCTCATATTTACTGTCTTGTGAAGGACTTCGACTGATATCAGTTGGTTTCCTTGGGACGTTATCAAGGGCTGCCAGAGACATTGTGGAGGCACTCATCCAAGAAAGTGATGCATGTACCATGATACTCCAAACCTGTGATTTGTACACACACATGCTCTACCAGGACTAACTACGTAGTTTATTGCTGACCTTTCTAAGCGTTATAGGTATCCAGATACAGATATACACACACACACACACACACACACACACACACACATCATAATTTCATATTAAATAACATTCAGTTCTATAAGTTGTATACAGTTTATAAGTATAAAGTTTTATAAAGTTTATAAAAATCTTATAACACTACTGTGTTTTCAGATTTAATGTCAAATGGCATTTTAACAAGTGTTCACAATATTAGCTGCTTTCATTCATGTCTTCAGATATTAGTTCAGGCTTTATTTCTGAAGAATAAAAAAAAAAGCATCTTCTTTCTTTTCTTGTCTTTTGCTGTCAGTAGTCATGCTGGTCTGATATAAAAATACAGAAATTCATCCAGGTGTTGAAGGTGTTGATAGAGTCCAGAAGTGGTAGCAGTCAGAGCGAAATCAGACGCTTAAACAACCCCCACACACAACCTATTTTATAACTTCCTGTATGCTGTGGCCAATCTTTCCAAACATCTGTTCTCTAACGCACACTCAGACTTGGCCTTACTTTCAGTTTTGCACTTGTCAAGCACACTCTTGTCCAAATACTGTAATTGATCTGCAATAAACTAATTACATTGAATAATAATAATAATAATAATAATAATAATAATAATAATAAAATCTAATTACTATTCATGAAAAGTAATTGCATATACGAATAGACGTATACGCAGCATTTTTCAAGCACTTCATCTGTCAGTAAACAAACTGCAGCTCGAAAACCACAGAAAATGCTTTCACTTTTGACTTTAGCTCCGCACTAGAAGTTACAAGTACTGGGAAGTACTGCAGGATTTTGTAAATTGGTTAAACAGTTAACCTCTATAACTATAAGTAATTAAGTACAATAAAAAGACCTGAGCAGGTCAGAAAGCTGGAATTATTTACATATTGCACAGACTTCACAATATTTCAAATTTTACACATTATATTATATTGTATATGTTTAAGGTCATATTTTCTGACTAATAAAATGCTTGAGTTTCTGTTTAATGGCAAAATCAATATATAGTATATAGCTTTATTACATAATTTTAATTAATGTTTTTTTTTTATTGTAAAAGCAATTCAAAAACCCTTTTTTTACAAACTTATAGCTTACTTTTCATTTGTGTAATGTGGCTGTGATTCAGCACTGTTACATATACATGAAATAACTGAAGTGACCATACACTCTCAGAAAATATAGTACGAAACTGTACCTTCCCTTGTTGCTGGGGATGGACCCTCAAGGGTGTATTTTTGTACCTTTATTATGTATGTATGTAGGACACCTGACCACCGCACTCATATGTGGTTCTTCCCAAAACTGTTGTCACACACTTGTCTAGAATGGGCTGTGGCATTCAGATTTTAAGATAACTAAACAGCCCAAACCTGTTCCAGCATGACAATTCTCCTGTGCACAAAACAAGCTCCATGAAGAAATAGTTTACCAAGGTTGGCATGTAAGAACTTGAGTGTTTTGCACAGAGCCTGACCTCACTAATGCTCTTGTGGCTGAACGAACACAAATCCACACAGACATGCTTCAAAATCTAGTGGAAAGCCTTCCCAGAAGAGTGGAGGAACAAAATATCATGTGTTTGGAACAGGAGGTGACAGTTGTAACAGTTAAGTGTCCACATACTTTTGGCCGCACTGTATATCAGTCGCCTGGAAATATCTGGTAAAGGTATCTACTCTGTAGTGTACCTTTAAAATGATTTAATGTACATAAATGGACTATAATTAGTTTTT